CAAGGTCTAATAAGTTAATTTACTCTAATCCTGCCTAAAAGAATCTTAAGTGCCGCGGCTATTGAGGATTCCCTCTTGTTTTTCTTCGTAACTACGCAATCCTATAGTGAGTATGTGTGTTAAAAGCTATAATATGGTAAAAACATGATTTACAAAGAATTGTATATCAATATATATATATGTATATATTCTCAGGAAAATATTGAGTATAAATTTACAATAAATCAAGATGTGAGTTTTTATTTAGTAATAAAAGTCATGATTTTCAGTGCCCAACTATGCTTTTATATGTGTACATTTTAAATCCTTACATGTGAAGATATTTTTACTTACATTAACATTCTTTTAATGATATTTTAAAGTCAAAGATTTTGGCAGTAGTTATTTGATAATAGCTATATCACCGCTCAGGCCGGCAAGAATTTCGAAGGTGTCTCTATGAAGTACATTAAAGGATTGATGGGTGTTCATCCTGACAACGATCGTTATAAACTCCCAGAAATTCATCACAACTACCTAGGCAAGATTCCAACGAGTTTTGACTCTAGACAACAATGGCCAAACTGTCCATCGATCGGAGAAATACGTGATCAAGGATCATGTGGATCATGCTGGGTGAGACCTTTGCTTATTATTTATTCTTTAAGAAATCTGTAATAATACGCTACTCAGTACGTGCAAAAGTTTAGAATTAACATAGTTTTAACAACTTGTCGACGATTGTGTTTGCTTCGTAATTTTGTGAAAGGCTCCACAAGAGCTAATCTGCACACAGCCGTCCCTACTTGCGAAGAGAGCTAGTCTTGAGCCACTCTTATCTGATCGAATAGTTGGGTCTGACCGTTATAATGCACTCCACGAAGCAAAGGAACGCGAACCATAAATCCTCGGATTCACAGCCAGGGCACACTAACAACTAGACCAAACCCGGCTCATTTGTCAACGAATACATCAAGCAAACTTTAGAAAACGCTTGGCTAAGCACTGGCCTATTATTTTCAACTTATCAGATTAGATTAATAAAAGAATGGTGCAGGTTTCAGTATTTCACTTTTCATTATCTCTTTAAAAACAATTGTAAGGAGTGATATTTTTTTTATTATACTGAAAATTGCGTCTGTCTTTAGTTCAAGTATAAATAACTGAAAGCTGAAGGTACAGGCTGAAAGTTTACCAGTCAACCTCCTGCATTTCATCCGTTCTATGAAAGCTGAAGGTACAGGCTGAAAGTTTACCAGTCAACCTCCTGCATTTCATCCGTTCTATGAAAGCTGAAGGTACAGGCTGAAAGTTTACCAGTCAACCTCCTGCATTTCATCCGTTCTATGAAAGCTGAAGGTACAGGCTGAAAGTTTACCAGTCAACCTCCTGCATTTCATCCGTTCTATGAAAGCTGAAGGTACAGGCTGAAAGTTTACCAGTCAACCTCCTGCATTTCATCCGTTCGAGATATATTTTGCAGGAGTTTAAACTTTTATTGGCGTTGTATTGTTATTATTCGCCCCACGATAGCTCAGCCGTAAGCTTCAGGGTTTATAAGGATAAAATTAAGGTTCGACACCCGCAGTAGGCACAGCGTAGACAACCCATTGTGTAGCTTTGCACTTAACAACACACCAAATGCTTACCAATCATTAAATTACTGTTTTATTATTATATCATGATATTTTATCATTTAGAGTATTGATAAAGTATACTTATTTTTATAAAGTAGAATTAGGTAATATACTTTTGAACTCGAAGAGTATGTTACAGTTAGTCACTAATATAAGCTTTTTATGTTATTGAATTCCAAAAATATGCTTAATTCCCTTTTATTTCTTTTATAACCTTTGTATTTTTACAACCTTCTTATTACTGTCTTATTAAAATGTTCGTGTTATTGTTATTATCCTTTACATAGTGACACAAAATTTCTCTTTTGGCTGGTTATATTACATCTAGTTTTTACAGTGTAAATATTACTATGAATATTTTATGAATTACAATTTATTTTTATTCGTCACCTTTTGAAGGCTTTTGGAGCTGTGGAAGCAATGTCTGATCGTTACTGTGTCGCTTCTGGAGGCAAAGTGAAGGTTGAGGTTTCAGCAGAAGATCTACTGTCGTGTTGTTGGACTTGTGGCATGGGGTTTGTTTACATAGCTCTTAAAAAATAAATCCCCTATAAAGTCTACTGTTAAATATTTAGAGTTACATATACACGCAGAAAAGTTGTATTTATATTTCCATAACACATCTATCGTAGCGTACTGTCAAATGGGTACAACAGTTTTACTCTTGAATATTGTAATATTGATGTTTCTCACCTATAACAGGAATTTTCAAAGTTAAACACACTTTTTACACTGATGATTAATATTTCATTGTTGAAACTTGTGTAGCACGTTTTTCAGACTGTTGTTTTTTTTAGTGTTACTTTGTTGAGACTTTACAGCACAGCTTTCACACTTTGACGTATAACGTTACATTGTTGGCACTTGTATAGCACAGCTTTCATATTTTTAATGTTTCTTTGTTGCAGCTCTGGTGTAGCACAGTTTTCACACTTTAATGTATAATGTTACATTGTTTAAAATGATATTGCACAGCTTTCATACCTTTGTCTAATGTTACTTTGTTGCAACGTTGGTGTAGCACAGTTTTCACACTTTAATGTATAATGTTATATTGTCTAAAATGATTTTGCACAGCTTTCACACCTTTATGTCTAATGTTACTTTGTTGCTACTTTGGTGTAGCACAGTTTTCACACTTTAATGTATAATGTTACATTGTTTAAAATTATATTGCACAGCTTTCACACCTTTATGTCTAATGTTACTTTGTTGCTACTTTGGTGTAGCACAATTTTCACACTTTAATGTATAATGTTACATTGTTTAAAATGATATTGCACAGCTTTCACACTTTGACGTATAACGTTACATTGTTGGCATTTGTATAGCACAGCTTTCATATTTTTAATGTTTCTTTGTTGCAGCTCTGGTGTAGCTCAATTTCACACTTTAATGTATAATGTTACATTGTTTAAAATTATATTGCACAGCTTTCACACCTTT